TTTCTGTCTTCTAAGGGAGTAATTGCCACGACAGTTGGCGATGATTTAATTTCTGTCTTCTAAGGGAGATAACCACCAATTTTCGAAATTGTCCATTGTCACCTGCTCGTGAGAAAATGTATGAACAAATCAGTTTTGGAATAAATTGATTTCATTGGAACGATCACAATTTACCATCCTAGAATGCTTCTCTGGCGCTTCCATGAAAATTCAACCCATATGGATAGCTTGCGGTATCTCCACTTGGACCCCAGCAAAAAACTGCTTATGAACTTGAATTTGAGTTGCAAGATTTACAAGAACATTCGATTGGGTTCGCGATCAAAACCCAAAACGCAAAACATGATTCCTACTAAGAATAAAGACGATGACAAAGTATAAGAAACTCTTGCATAGAAGAGTACAATAAACAAATCTCGTCCTAACTTCTAAGTCCACTTCTTGGCGTGCCCAAGCATGAGAATTTTAAGGAGTGACCATCATGTATAACCTGCAAAAGGAAGACAATGTCAGTATGGAAATGAAAAAATTGATCTCTCATTGAGGCCGTCTCTTATAGTGAAAGCGAGGTAAAAAATACTTTGCCCCCGAATCCCCGTTAACGAGGGTTAAGTGTTTTGCCACCGTTTCACTTGTAAGAGAAAGTATCATTGAGAGATCATTCCATGGTTTATCAATCAAACGCCCATTTGGATTTTGCAAGCCAAAATAGTTCCAATCATTTAAGTTCGAGAAATTCTCCTACAAATTTGTGACTTTAATTTTGAAAATTTCACCTATTAAAATGTGAATCTACTCTTGAAAAAATTTCAATTTTGAAATATTCAAACATCCAATATAATTTCAATTCGACATCTCAAATTGCAACGTTGACTTTGAAAAATTTAGTGACAAAACTTGATCTTAGACCCACAATTGAAAATTCCGACAAGCCAATAGTTTTATGGGGTCAGATGAGAAATATTGGCCTATGTCGCATGTAGGAACTTTCTTATTATGGGTCTAAATCATGTTGGGCATTCAATTGATTTCCATGGATTTTACGAAAACAAAATTTCAATTCAAAGTGAACTAATAATGAGAGAAATCATACTTACAACGGGTGATGATCGTTTTTTTTTTTTTTTTAAAACACAAAGACACGCATATGCACCTGTGAGGTTCACTAAAAGGTGGGATTCTAAAGGCTTACGGTCCCCATCCCAAATAGATCAAAAGAGTTTTCCCCACTCCGTACTTGCGTCGGACAGTCCTCTTTATCACTTATTCGAAGATGAGCGGGACCAAAAGGGGATAGCCATGGGTCCTTCCCCGCACGGTTTCCACACTTTTGGCACCTCTTATGAGTTTCCTAAGGCGATCGGGGTTTTAGATCGCAGGTTGTGCATTTGAAGTGTAGTGCTAAAGCAAGTAAAAGCATGCACAACAGTTGATATCAAAACAACACTTCTAATTTCATTCACATACACATACACCCTTACACCAACCTACAAAACAAACACGTCAACAATCACTCCACCCCTTATAACTCCCAACCTACAAAACCATTTAACACAACGTTAGTGGACTTACCTTAGCCTTTACAATGCCCTGCCATAAGATCATGTTAGTTAACCAGCAATCAAGCTATGCTAGGCCTAAGTCCTCAAGTCCCCAGCGGAGTCGCCAAGCTGTCGCGACCTCCCTAAACCGGCCCCGCCGCCTAAGGGGTTAGGCTAATGGATTACTAAGTTAAACCTAGCTCGAGCTCTCCCAAGCTCATACCAATTCGTGACTTAAGTTAAAGTTATTAACATGGAAATCAATTTCACCTAGGAGTCGCCACTAATCAATTTTTGGTGGGTCGATTAGACACCCAAGCAAAGCAGGGGAGAAATGCTTTACTTCTACGAACCAGAGATTCAATGGGTACGGGGACTTGATTACACTAATTGACCAACTAGTGCCCTTTCGGTACCTAATCTTGCTCAATTCACCACCTAACGTGTTCACACTAACTGGGAGTTTAAAAAATTCATTCCTAACCAAGCTAAGGGAAGCAACAATCACTACATGAACCTAACATGCATAATCAACCACATGCGAGTTTAAATTAAACATATAATTCAAAGCGTGCGAATCAAGCGAGGAGCAATCAAACATACGCTAATCACACAAAAAGGGAGAGAAAAGCAATTCTGAAACCCAATTTCCAATTTTTGGATTTTCGAAATTTTTCTATTTTTTTTTTTAAATTTTTTTATTTAAAAAAATAATAATTCCCTAAACCGGCCTATGCTCGGTTTACGTGAACATGAAACAACTCAGAATATGAATATTACGAGAACCGGGCTCAAATCAACCGTTTCAAGATCGAAACTTGGTTTGGGCATTTCGTCGAGCATTTGGTGTGCATTAAAATGCCCCAAATGGCTTCCTCGAGCCATATTCGTGGCCTTCAATCTTACTCCGTGTGTAATATCAAGTGGAACCAAAGTATCAAGGTTATATTATCACATGCAAAGAACAAGATTAGCTAGAAATCACAACCTAAAACGCACGAGAATCAAGTTGGAATCGGCCTCCAATATGTGGGTTCGGGCTGCTGTTGCAAATTTGGGTTTAAACCCAGGTCAAGCAAACCTGTTGCATGCCCAGGTTTAAGCCCCGACACTCATCACGTGCAAGATCTATGGGAAACATCACTTCATCTGAGAGAATATACGTAACATCTACTTTTAAATGAAGCAAACATCATGGAGAATGATCAAGCGAACACGTCGAAACAACCCCCCCCCAAGAAGCATACATGCATGGTTCATAATGACTAGCCATGAATCAATGTGGGTTAGCTTGGCTTTTGACTCAAGTTGCAAGCGATCTCATGGTTCACACGGGGCTTCAAAGACCAAACCAAGTGGATCTCAGCCTAATTTGTACACCCATATAACATTCATCAAGCTCACGAAGGTAGAAAACGCATGCAAAGAGGAGTAGCAAGTCAAACATTTAGGGCTCATGAAGGAGCTCTAACACTTAGAAAAATTCCAGCCAGCCTCAGAAATCAGTTCTCTGGGCTGGTTTTCTCTTGATTTTTTCATAACTAAAACATATTCAAAATTGAACAAAAATACGTGTAGGATACTCACCTTGCTTCCTAGTTTCTCTTTGAAGTATCCCTTGGCCGAGGGAACCAAAAACCTGTCTTCCAAGGGCGCGGGGAACTAGGCTTCTTCAAACTGGAAAATGAGATCTGCAAAGAAGGAACTGACAACGAAGGTTTTTGTTGGTCTCCAAAACCAGAATCAACGACCTCCTTTTCTGACTAATTTGACACTAACCCAAACTAGATGTATTCTAGTTTAATTTTCAAGTCACAGGTATCCTCATATATTCCTCATGTCTCTCAAAAACTCCCACTTTCCCTCACCAGTAACCGTCTGACTTCAACACTCAAGATTTCTGGGTCTCTCTTGACCCGAGAATGGGCTGCTTTTCGAGGGGATTTTGGGTGGCTTCCCGACATCCATTTGGGGCGTGCGACCTATGGTTGGAAAGCTCTTTGAATGTAGTTCCACTCTCTAGTTGAAGGTTTTCGCTAATTTTTGCTCGAAGTTCACGAAAATCTCACTTTCCTCTCCAAAAGTCAGTCTGGAACTTTTCTGGGTTTGTTTTTTTTGAGTTGCGTCTGAGGGTGAGTTTTTGGAACGACCGTCCACTCCCTTCCTCTTGTCTCATCCCTTTATTTTTATCCCCCAAAAGAACGTGCTTCAGAGATCCTATCCATCGAATCCAACCCGATTTTTAGCCCGTGATTGCCCACTTACCAAGCCTGCAAACTGAGTCTCTTCACCAACTTTCTGACTCCAAAATCATCATAATTTGCAGCTGTTGAGTGAGCAGGTTTGACTGAGATTATCACGTGTCTTCAGCAGCTTATCCCTGGCAAATTTTTGTCCATTTGCACTCCTAATGATGGTCTCACACCTCGGCCAGAGTTCACGCTGATCGGCTGGCTGAGTAGGATATGGTGGGGCCACAAATTTGGCTACTCAGCAGCCTCGAATTGAGACCAAATCGTGGACCGGTTTTTGGAAGCTGATTTAAGTGCTTTAATCCATTAATTTGGTCGGAATTTTTGATCATTTTGCAAGTTGAAGTATATTAGTTTAAGATGATAATCAGAATCTGCAATTTTCCATGCCCAATTTTGCAGGAAAGTCCCTCAAAATTAGCCATTTTCTTGCTCGAGGATGCCCGATTTGAGCCAATTTAGTCCTTTTGGCTTGATCTGATCAATTTTACCTTGCCCGTTTTCAATTTCAAGCTTGATTAGGGTTAAAAATGATGATTTAAGTGCTTGGGGGCGAATTTTACAAATTTTGCGATTTGGTCCCCCAACTTTTGGAAATTGCATTTTGGCCCCAATTTGCTGGTTCATTTGCAATTTGATCCCTCAGGTCTCAGCTAGCTACACTCGAATCCTTGGCCCTTGCTCTTCCGTTTTTTTTTTTAGTAGAATAATTCCAAAATATTTTTGTGGAAAAACAAGTTCCAATTTTTCGAAAATGATTTTTGGGCAAAAAATTTAGGTGTCAACAAAGGGAACTTAAAAGAAAAAAATGGGGAGAAAAGACCAACACGTATGTGGCGTCCTGCCTCTCCCCAGGGTGGCAGCAACGAGATACAGTATGCAAAAGAGAGCCCACACAACCAGAAGAAGAATGAGAAAGAGGTAATATTCTTACGACTAGATGAAATCAAGCATATCCTTAGAAGGACTTGTTTAATCATTGTTACTCTCCTACTTATTTCCAAAGATTCTAAGAATTTTCTCATGAGAAAAGTACTGCTATTATCATTATTACTATTTGGTGATTGAGAAAAGTTTAACTGTGCATGGGTGGGTGCTCTAGAGATCGAGCACCCTGGTTCTTAGGACCAGACTGCATTGTGATGACTGCATCCGGAAAATACAGAAGCGCATTTCAAAGTGTAAAGGTGAGATGGACAATAAGCACTGAGTCATTCATTGAGCTGCAACTCATTCTAGTCTCATAAACTCTAAGAATTATATGCAGTAAGAGTTTCACCCCTTAAACATATTGTTCAAAATGAATATACAGGGTTAACATTACTAATGATGGAAATCATGAAGGAGGTCGATAATAAGCATACACAGCAAAGAAAGACTTAATTGTCATGAGAACAAGAAGTATGAATGCTGCTACAGCTGATATGAGAGACCACCGCGTGCTGAAGTAGGTGTTCTTGAAGCCGGCCCAACGCACTCGCCAGTCCTTCTCGCTGTACGCATTCACATCCTGGAACACCTGAGATAAATAGTTCCTGCGGATGTCGAACACAACATCTTTCCCGATGTTGCTGAAGAAATGGGCAATTTGCTGATATGTGCCAAAATATTTCTCGATGATCATGCGGTCACACAGGAACCCGACATCTGCCGGTGTGTTAAGGAGGCAAGCCATGAAAGTGGCATAAGCTGTGACATGCTTGGAGGAGCCCCTGTGGCACTGCTCAAATGCAATGAAATTGAGGAAGAGAGAACTCAGGATGTCATCGAATCGAAGTCCTGGAATTTCCAGGACACCATTGCTGAATTTGATGTCCATGAAGCTTTCACAATGGGTCCGCTTGAACTTAATTCCTGCCAGGTGGAGCTTAGTCGCGGGCTGGATCAGGTGAAGGTGTTTGTTTGGTCTTTGTTTTGTTTCTGGAGAATCCGGGTTGATAGTCAAACGGAGGAAATTAAGCAGATGTTCTCCTTCCCAATCGGAGTACTTTGTCAAGACGGCGTCTGCGTCTGGTCTGTGAAACGTGCGGTTGAAGCAACTTAAGGCGAGCTTGGATAGAGAAGGATGGCTCTCATTCCAGGACCCCACCGTCAGATCGAACAGAGCTTTAAGAACGAACCAAGGAATCTGGTTCTCAAGTTTGGCAAGATCCCGCATGAGGAAAGGCAACACCCAGGGCTGGGTCAGTAAGGGGTCATACCCTGGATCGGTGTGGCCTGCCAATTTACCGTAGGACTTGCAGAACAGTTCAATGATGAAGCAACCATCCAGTACCATCATCCCAATGAGCTCATCGCTGTCGAAAGCTAAGGCCTCGGAATAACAGTTTCTTATCTTCTCTTCCATTGGTTTTAAAGCCTCAGCGAAGTGCCTTAGCTTGTCCCTTCCTTGGTTGGCTCGATTGATCAGATCGATGGAGAATCGCCGCTTGTGCTCTTGAATCTTTTGAAACTGCGGCTTTCCGTGGTGGTAGGGGCCGATGGGGACCATGTTAGGCTGGAACGCACTCTGATTGCTCTCGAACAGGCATTGAGGCACTCTAAAGATGCAAAAACCTATCCCAGTCGCAATACTACCCTCGGTAGTTCCAACATTGATCGCATGATCGGAATAACAACCGCTCCCGGCAGTTTGGCTGTGGAGAGAATCCGACATTTGTGTTTATATGGATGATTCTTAGTCTTGGCTTTCTTCTAGTGATGGTGCTCGAACATCGTGGCTTTGTCACGCCAGCTGCACAATAGAATCCAGAAAACGTGTGGTGTGAATTACCAGTTACAACACAGTAATCAAAATTTAAAGAGATATCCACTGATGAGAGACAAGAATTTCTCAAAGCTGACTTTCAATAACCTAATAATCCAGAATAACCTTGCGCACTACAAAAAGGCACTAAAATGCACAAATTCATATACCATGGTCTTCTGCAGTGCAGTTAGACTAAAAGATAAATCATGCTCAGTCATTTCAGGATTAAATATGACATATATCAGCCTGCGAACAAATCTCAGCACCAAATTGGGATTAGCTTCAAATAAGCAGGTTTAACACTTTGGCTATGCCAAACAGAACTTATTGTGTACAAAGAAGGTGTTAAAAGGTTAAAACTTGATGCTCTCCACCATGATACATGAATGTATACAGAAAATCAACAACTAGCTATCATGGCTTAATGGTACTATAATATAGTGTACGACTCAGCCAGATCAATAATTGAAAATGCTATGAGCCTATGTGGTGCTTTAAAAGCAGACAAGTGACTTGGGAAGGGTCAAACAGAAGTCTGCATATCAAGCTAGGAGGTAGACCTTAACGACTGTTTAATTATACCCCATTTTGGTTCATTGCTGGGGTTCAACTCCAGCACACCAAGCTAGGATGCAGACCTCAACATCTGTTTAGAATGCTTGATGGTGCTCAGTTAACTTAATATACTTGTGACTCATTGTAAAGGTTTGCTAAAGTACATAAGTATTCTTGAATAATGATTAGATAGCCTACGAAACTACAGATGACAGCTAATGTCCATTGGATTTTTCAATGTACACTGCTTCAGGAACCTTACACTGCATAATCAGTAGTTAAAATGTACGTCCAATCAAGTGAAGCTGCAACAATGCACCATCTATGATAGTCAAAATTATAAAATATTGCGATTAATCATGTTTACTATCAGAACATAGAAGCTCAAATTCCTCAAGCAGCAATGGCACCCCAAGAAAAAAGAAGTCACTGGAGTGCGGAGAAAAGATAACTAAGATGAGAATCTGGCAAACAAAGATTAGAAGTGGCTAGGTGTCATGAGACATGACCCATGACCCACCAGCATGTACATCTAACAAATGTTGAAACTATGATCTCCAACATGTCGAGCAAATAGGTTCTTTCCTACACAAATGCACATTGCCTTCAACTGTAATTCGATTTAAACATGCAAGCATCAAAGGAAGCTAACTAAGGAAGTACTAGCATTGAAAGACGCGTCAAAGATGTCAGTAACTACTAGTTTGATGCAATTCTGAATTCGGCTCTGCCAGTCCAGTGCTAATGCCGCTAACAGAAAGAATATCAAACCAACAATTTAGTTATCTCATCAATTTCAACAAGTCCGTTCTCTCTTCACCGCAATCTTCACCCCCATATGACAAATTCTAACGGAGATACGCAACACCGACGCAAACCACCTATATTCCCCCGCTGTGAAACATGCACACGAAAGTTTCCATTTTTAACTCTCATTCCCAAGTATTTTTTTATTGTTGAGAAACCCATCCAGGTAACTATTTGCTCTATCCAATTCCAAAACTTTGGCTGCAAAGATACGATATAAGCCCAGTATTTATGCAGTTAAGGAACGGCTCAAAATGCAGACCAACACACAAATTGCCGACGCTATCTCGACAATTCCACACAAGCCCACTTGTCTTAAAGCCAAAAATCTTCATACCCGCGGTCTGAATTCCGACACGCGCGCGACCTTCATGGCAGTGAAACTCCGAGACGCGGTCATCTCATTTCTGGAGTCCCTCAAGACGAAAACACACGCACCAGAAGCACCCCACTCGACAGTCGAATTGCTGCTAAGCTGGAGCGGTCCTGGGACTCAATTCAAAGAAGAGCGGGACAACGAAGCAAAAGGGACCGCACTTGTAGTAATGAACCCGATTCCGACAACCAACGAGAAACCCTAGGTAAAAGCGAAGAAGGAGGAGGGTACTTTGGATTGATTGGGGAACTGCCACGTGTAAGGCCAGCGAGGGAGGAAACAGAGTAAAAAAAAAAAAAGTTAATACCACGAAAACTCCGAAATTAATATATCTATGATAATTTTATCTCAAATTAATATTTTTGCCACTAAAAATCTCCAAACTGATACATTTGTGATAAATTTACTCTTCGTTAGTTTCCGTTAAATTGGATTAATATCACAAACAATCACAAATTGGGCGGAGGGTAAAATATAAAATTGACACATTAGTCAACTATCGCGTGTCATTTAACAAAGGAATTTGACAATAAAATTTAATGAAAATAAACTAAGGATAAATTTGTCACAGGTGTACCAGTTTGGGAATTTTGATGATCAAAAAATTAGTTTAGGGTAAAATTGTCACAAGTGTACTAGTTTGGAGTTTTTCGTGGTATAAACCCAACAAAAAAATAACAATCGTGAAACAATTATCTCTCGCTTGTTTTCTTTCAATGGAGTACTCTAACTTTCACATTTTTGCAATCAAGCCCTTCAATCAATTATTATTTCTAAGGGAGCTTCGATGGTTCTCTAACCTGTTGTGGTCGCGTATGTTTAATTGTTACTCCTATGTAACATCACAGTACTCACAAAAACTTATAAAAAAATTTACGTTCAATGGATGTGATTTATTTTGATTTGATTTAACGCTGATAATGTCTCGAAGTACGAGTACCGAGAGGGTAACAAGAACCTCATTATTACTTATATCGTCAAGTTGCTTATATGGCAGCTCTAAATGAAATGTTTTCTTTCCTTATCATCGACTATTGTTACGTTTTTTAGGAGACAAGACCTCTTGGTTTGTACACCAAGACTAGAATTTACTTAGAGAAAGACTCTCTATGGCTTCTATCATGCAGTGGTATTCTAAATTTGCCTATTCAACTACTGATTCAACTTCGAATGTCGTCGAGCCAAGTGCCTCACAATTAGGGTTTTCGATATTCGAAAATTCTTCCAATTCAATTTCAATTTAGGAAATGAAGTATTCAAGTTGACTCGCCTGCCTGGTCGCGTTGTTTGATTTAGTCAAGGTTGGCGATCGCATTTGTCTAGTTTCATTGCCAAGTTCTCTTCGTGGTGCGCCACTCTTGAGCTTCTTCTTTGGTCCTTTCTATATTGAATGTTTTTCTTAAACTCTCTATTTTATATACGATAATGTACTGCTCCTAATTCTCGAATTGAGTAATAGACAACCACATCAAGTGAAAGTTAGTCCTTTTAGCCTCATAACCATTCAAGAGTTCGAACTAGTTTTATAAGTTCCTTTTGTTGGTCTTTCTCCTCGAGACATTCTATATTTGACACGTAAAATTGATGCAACACTAAAATAACAAGAATAAAAAAGCAAAGAGAAAAATATTCATACATGCACCTAACCACAAAGATGGGAGGGCTTGAGAGGACGTTGCCACCTTATGCAAATACGCGTTGCGACCTTCACCGAGGATGGTCGGTGCATCGCTAGGGTCCTGGCCCCTTTTATCGGGGAAACGAGAGGATCTAAGGTTCATTCATTGCATAAGAAAGGTACGTATGATGGTCATTGCTGAGTACTGAACGGGAGAACCAACAAGATTCGCAGGTTAGTAAACTCGATTGACTGTAAAATAGGGAGAACAATAATCGTTTTTCATATTCATGGTTCCATTTAGCCCATGTAGCTAGAGCTGATGGTATAACAAATAAAAATTCGGGGAAAATTATTCAATTAGTCTTAAACCTATTGTACAGATGCTCCAATTTAGTTCTAAATTTTTGTGCAAAATTCCAATGTGGTCCTTCTAATCAATTTTCGCCAGAAATCGTTGATGTGGCAGTGTGCCACGTAGAATGGCCAATGATGATTGAAACCTTATGTTAGCTAACTGAAACAGGAGCTCAGCTAGAAAAAAATCAACGACCTCTGATTGACTCAATCTAAAAAAATTGATCTATCTTCATTATGATGCACGAATGCATATTATTTCAATGCATTGTAATCTAACCCACACCACCACAAACAGAGAGTGGTTCATGAGTTTATCAGGATTATTAAGTCATTTAAAGCTGCACGAGATGTACTTCCTACTAATGGAAAGACCAAACCTAATTTGATGACAATGACAAGATAATTGACTATTATTTCATAAAATACTACTCATAACTTATTCTACAAACTAGCATCTGCAATTCCGACCCGATTATCATCTTTCAGAAATCGTCAATCACCGCTCCATCGCTTTCCAGGCAAATGGTGCACTCCCATCGTGAAAGCTTTCCATTACAAGCTCCATGGGAGTAGCATGCGCTGTTGGTCGCTAAGGATGTCTAGTAGTTATAACTAGAGTCTGGCGTTGAACTAATCACATCATGGAAAGCCGCATCAAGACTGTGACTGAAATCATTGTTCATCTTGTAAGATTGTTCATTGCACGATGGATCGATCGCAGTAAGGTCCGGATGACCTGAGCATCGACGCAAACATGGAACAACCAAGTTCAATCACTGCAATAACTCCCAAGAATGTAGTAGCCATCTCTTTATATTCTTTTTCTTAGCTACTTTGCTTCGTAGATATCCAATTTGGGTGGTATACATATAAATTTCTTGTTCCTTATAGGTGTTGCTATTTTAATAGCCAGATTTAGAGGGACGGCTCCTCCGTGGCCTCAAGACTCGATGATGAAGTCGAGATCTCAATGGCGATGGAGTTGCCGCCGAGAACGGCAACGAGAGAGTGCAAGAGAGAGGCTAAATGGCTAGAGGAGGCACAATGGCTTAGAAGTCCGTTAGCCCATCCATTTAAAAACATATATCATGAAATGTACTTTAAGCAGACTCAATCAGTACAGACGCAAGTAAGCATACGGATTCAATAGGTCCATACCCAGTACTTGATTTTTCAAGGTGGCAAGAAAACAATCACTCGGTGAAAGAATAATTCTCATACCTAATTCTACAATCTTGGAGCTGCACTTGTCCCCCGATTCTCATGTTACAAACGAGAGACAACTCATTTCTAGCCGAATCCAAGCAAGAAGTGCAATCCCCACCTGAGAGCGCCCGATTGCAAGCTCCGTGGGCGTAACATATCGTACCGAGGTGCGTAGTTGTCGCATAGAAATCATAACCATACCTCTGTGTGTCTGTACATACATTGTCCAGAGCCGTATTGCAGACAGACCCGAAATCATCACCGGGATTATAGGAATTTCCATTGCACAATGAGTATATCAGGGTCGTGTCTAGATCAGCTCTCACAACATCGAGAACGTACAGAAGAACGATTAAAATAACTACCGCAGCTCTCTGGAGCGTGGCCATCGATCCTTTTCGTTTTTATTCTGCTAGTTCAGACTCACTTTGGTGATTAGAGATCCAATTAGTTGATTTGCTTTATGTATAGGTGGTGAACTGTGATATTCATATGTTTTCTTTAATGTTGAGGCCACTTCCAAAGAAGACATTATAAGTTTTGCCGCCGATTATTCGAATCAACCTAGCTTCTTGTTTTTTGTTGTTTTTGTCTGCGTCTCCTTTTGAACTCATACTTCATCATCACGATAATGGCAAGAGTCCTTTCTCGTTTAGATAGAATATTTGCCTCGTATGCTCATCTCCTAATACTTGTTCGACTGACAAATCTAAGCACAGTTGTTTTTTCAAAGTGACTTCTTGAAAACCACGAGCAGCTAAAGACATTGAAAAAGAAAATATTGTATGGTCTATATATCATGTAATCTAAATACAACTCAACCATTAATCATGTGAGCCCCACAATTGGACGCTTATAACTAATGATTGAAATGATATTAGTCTACATTGTCTATAAACTATGCAATAACTTCTCGATGTGATTGCTCCTTAGATCCGCTTCTCTCGTGGAATCGAACTTAAGTATTCTTTTAGAATAAGCTATATTTGCGCTCGTTGTTACTTATATCAGAGTTGGAGACAAAATATTTTCTCTAAGGTCTACCTAGTTTTGCTCTTCAAATCCTGCGGTTCTGGTCGTTCTAGGTTTGCGTTTTAGTTCTTGAAGGGAATTTCTACCATCTCGCAAGTGTTTCAATGGGACCATTCCCATAATCAACGTGGATCGTTGCATAAAAGGAAAAGAAAAACGGGGTCCGTCAGATTTGCTTTGTAAAATCGGTTTTCTATAGTAACATACTGTCGTTAAAGGAAAGTATAACCGCGAGAGTGATTAAACTTACATTTGATTAATAAAAGTTACAATGAGTAAAGAAACTTACTAATACCCAAGTTGCAAAACTTTACGAAGTGTAAAGGAAAGTTACAATTAATTAGATATTTGTCTATCAATAGCACAGAAGAAAGTTACTATTAACTTAAGTAAATTATTCTTGCGGAAAATTACAAACCATAGGATCCAAAAGTTATAACCACTGAAGGTAAATTACTCCCTTTAAAGAAAAGTTACAAAAGGATATGTTATAGATATATTACTATTAATGAGGACAATTGTGTACGCCAAAGGAAACTTTATGATCCATTAGGTAATTTTCGACAGAATTACCAGAAAAGTCCTAAATCTATTGCAAATGTACTAATCAGTTGAAAACTATCTTTTTTTCTAATTGAATCATAAATCTTTTGTATTTGTGTCGATTCAGTTCATTCGGCCAATTTTGACTAAAAATCGCTAACATGAACGCCGTCCTATGTAACATGGCTAGTGCTGACTTAAATAACTTTTAATAATATTTTAATATTTTTTCGATTTTTCTTTTCTTTTCTTTCTCTTTTTTTTTCTTTTCTTTCTCTTTTTATTTTCTTCCCTTCTTCCTCTAGCTGCAAAGGAAGAAAAGAAAAAGAAAAAGAAATTAAAATAAACAATAAATAAATAATTTCAAAAGATTATTAAAATATATTTGAAAAGTGTCCACGTTAACACCGGCAGCGCCACATAGGACGTTTGGTGCCATGTCAGCAATTTCCAGCCAAAATTGACCTGATGAACTGAATTGGCATAAATGCAAAAGATTAAGGACTCAATTGGTAAAAAAAAAGTTTAAAATTGAATCAGCACAATTGCAATATGCATATGTTTTTTTTGGTAATTTTCCTAGTAATTTCCCAACAATAATAAAAAGAATTTTACTATTAGCATAAATAAATTAATATTTTTTTGGTGGAAATTCGCAAACTTAGGATCCACATAACTTACAACGACAAAAGAAAAATTACGTCCTTTAAAAAAAAGTTGCAAAATGCTATGTAATAGGTACATTGCGAAGGTGGAAAAAAGGTTACGATTAATTATGGGAGTTCCAATCGTGCTTTTTCTCTAACGGGACTATAGAAAGACCTTGTTCTTGAAACTGTTTTGAAGTTGCAATTTTATCTCTTCATAGTAACTTGGCTAAGTAAAGATTGAACAATAGTCTATCAACTTTAATCTAATGTGCACTGTTATCCCTAAGCTTTTAATTTGTTCAATGTATTTCCTGAACTATATTTCAATATTCAATCTAACCCTAAACTATATGAAGAATATTCAATGTGGTCCTTCCATTAATTCAAGTTAATGAAATCTGCCACCAATCAGTTAAACTTAAAGATGGACCAAAAAAATTAGAGTTACACGCTGATTAACTGTGTAAGATATCCATCTCAAATCAGGATATAATTATTCGCATCATCAAATAATGATGTACATGTTAATGTCCTAGTTTCATTTTTCCTTATCTAAAATAGAGAGAATTGAGCAATGCGACGGAGGGAAATGGCTACCCTTCCTCGGCTTCTCTGCTTAGCTGAGCGATGCATGCGGAGAAACCGTCGAGAGGAGCTACGGGAGATTGAAGCGGAGAGTGACGCTAGGGCCATGGCATGATTAAATAAATTTTTGTGGTATAGTTAAATTAATTTATGAACTATAAGGTGGAATTAAAAATATTGAGATTAAATTTTCATAATTATTAAATTTAATTTGTCTAATTACGTAAGACTTTCAAACGTTCCGTATTCCAAAACGAGGCAACTGCCTTCACAACTAGAATAAGGGCAATGATTAATTAAATAATCTAGTGATAACATAACAATTTAATACTTGTGTTAGAATAATCATGAAGTTATATCATAGATACTGAATTTACAAATAATAATTTATATAGTACACCATTTAAAGCTGGTTATAATACGTTGGTACTGTGTAATAGATTATATTGAGAACACTTCATGCTTTTTAAGCATTTCAGTGGCTTTTATTTAATTTTTATATCTCAAATGTTTGAAGGAACCATAAAAATATATGACCTTTATAATGGCACAAATGAATTAAAAGTCACAATTATAGGAAAGGGATTACATTCTGCATGGGGAAATTTGGATCAATAGAAAATCGTAGATCAAAAGGCAAGATTTGATTTAGAGCTACATACTCAACAAAATCGTACACATTACGACGGTTAGGTGTGCTAATTCACTTTGGCACTTGAATAGTCCTACAATTTTTTTGAACATAAAACAACATCATGCTTTTACGTTTTATGGCTCGAAAACATATTAAAACATCGATTATGTTATAATTAAGATAAAGCAATTCATGCATTATATAAGATATTGCAACTACTTCCATATAACACGATTATTGTAAGGGCCAAACTCTAGCCCCACTTTCTAACGATATTGTTTGCTTTGAGCCGCAGCCCTCACAGTTTTGAGCCTAGAAAAGGCCTCGTTGGTAGTTAAGACCAGTTCTATACCTCACATAAAGAAAATTACCAAAACAGTCATAAACCTATTGAATTCAGTCCTAATTTTTTTTTGTCAATTTAATCATAAACCTTTTATATTTGTTCCAATTCAGTCCATTCGGCTAATTTTGGCTAGCCGGCACTAACGTGGATGTCGACCGGCGCCGGCCTTCCAGGCGACACTGACGTGGCAATTTTTAAATATTTTTTTTTCAATTTTATTTTTATTTTTTTCCTTTCTCTTTTTTTTTTCCTTTCCTTCTTCCCTCTGGTCTATCCGGCGACCAGTCACAGCGAGCACTAGTGAGGCTCTCCTTCGCAGGTACTAGTGAGGGCAAGCCTCACCGACGCTAGGTGAGCTCTAGCTCACCATGGCTAGGCAAGCTCGACCTTGCACAGATCTGGCGAGCCTCGCCATGGATGTGGGCAAGGTGTCGCTGGGCGAGCTCGACCTCACCCACAGCCATGGTGAGGCTAGCCAGATCTAGGCGAGCTTGACCTCGCCCACATCCATGGCGAGGCTCGCCAGATTTGGGCGAGGTCGAGCTCGCCTAGCGACGGCGAGGGCGAGCCTTGCCATGGCTGGACGATCTCGACCTCGCTCGCGACGACAAGGCTTGCCCTCGCTAGTGCCGGCAAGGGCGAGCCTCACTAGTGGCCAGCTAGGTACCGGCCAGAGGGAAGAAGGAAAGGAAAATATAAATAAAGAAGGAAAAAAAATTCTAAATTTTTTTTTTTTAAAATTGCCACGTTAGCGTCACTAGGTTAAAATTGGTCAAATGGATTGAATTGGCACAAATGCAAAAGATTTAGAACTGAATTAGTACAATTGCAATAGGTTCATGACTGTTTTGGTAATTTTCCACCTTATACAGAACAACACTTCGCCTTTCCCAGACGATGTGGGATTCGGTTCATTCCTACCCCATTTGCCATCCTCGAGGCGGAGCTGCACTCCTATCCTTCGCAGGACCGGGTAGTTACAGTTATAGGAACTAATTATTTTCTAATTTTTGTTACATTATTTGAAAGCCAACTGAGGGAAATAGATAAACAGGTCACTTGGAATCAACTCGCGCATATCAGAACACAAGAATAATAAACCCCAACTTATTTCATTCTTGTTAAACCATTCCAAGAACTAAATCTGAATACATCATACCTTGAAACCAAATAAAAGCCACGACAAAATTGCCATGGCACATCGTCCGAATGATTTGGAACATAACATATTCTTACGCCATTCACTTGTACAGGCTATTAAGGTGACCAACCTTGCTTTAAACTAAGAAATTTCACTTGTCTAGAGCCCAAAGAGCGAGGATGAATCTGGATAGCAAGAACCAACTCTTTCCTAGCACCCCATTCAAAAAGCTCGAAGGTTGCTAATCTTGCCTCCACAATTTCGGATCACACATCTAACGATTGCTTCGACCTAAACACATTTTTTAGAGTTAAACATGCCCTAATCATTTTAGTAACACATAGGACCATAAGTTGAGTGACTACCCCACTCTATCCAAGCTTCGAAATTAGAGGAAAAGATGCTCAATCTCCCCTTTCACTTCTGTCCACTTTACGTCAAAGGGCCAACACGAAATCCCGCTTCAAAACATGTCATCAAACAACCATTTCCACTAATTTAGTGAAACCCTGCAAAAGAAAACCCGCGAAGGAATCTAAAAGGAGGCGAGACTTGGTGAAACTTACCTCAGAGTGCCAGAAATTTTGAATATTAGGCCACCCATGAGCTACCCGATTCTAAATTGTCCAAAAAAATCCTAAATCTATTGCACTTTTGCCAATTCAGTCTTAAACTTTTCAATTTTGCAAATTGAGTCATAAACATTTTCACGTTTTGCCAATTTAGTCCATCCAGCCAACTTTGGCCGAAAATCTCAGATGTGAACTCCAACCATCCTGCATGGCACAGCCAGCGCTGACGTGAAAATCTTTAATAGTATTTTGAATTATTTATTTATTTTTTCTTTTTTTCCTTTATTTTCTTTTTTCTTTTTTCTTTTTCCCTTTTTCCCTCTGCCAGCCACCGTCGGGCCTCGTTGATGGCCGGCGGAGGTTGTCAGCTCCATGCGAGGGCGGCCATTGCCAACTTAGACAAGGGTGGCCCTCGCCCGACCAAGCAAGGTCGACCCTCACCTGAGGCCAGCGGAGGTCGCTGGCCATCCATGAGGTCCAATGGTGGCCGGCAGTTCAATGGCCGACGGAGGGAAAAAGGGGATAACAAAAAAAATAGAAAAGAGAAAAAAAGAAAAAAAGGAAAAATTAATAATAATAATATTAATATTAATATTAAAAATATAAAAATATTATTAAAAACTGTCCACGTCAACGCCAGTCGTGCCATGTAGGATGGCTGGCAATTACGTCAGCAGTTTCTAGCCAAAATTGGCCGAATGGACTCAATTGGCAAAACTTGTAAAGGTTTAGGACTCAATTATCAAAATTGAAAAGTTTAGAATTGAATTAGCAAAAGTGCGATAGATTTAGGATTTTTTGGACAATTTTTCCGATTGGATGCAGCACTCATGTGCTCATACTAGAGAGAGATGTAACCTTCCTATGCGCTTCTGATTCACGTCCAATTCACATCAGCGGGCCAAAAATGGTAAAGAAAGAGAGAGAGAGCGGGGTATAACTTATAATTAGAAGTTAATACGCAAGACACCAATACGAATGAGACAATAACGGACATGCAATATTGCGGTAATGTTGCTCGGTTAATCATGTCTTTCAATCGGGATGTGGCTGAATAGTCATATATCTTCGGTTGATATTTGCAATATTTGTAAATTGCAATGATTGTTAATTTTGGGCATAAAGAAAAGAAAGAAAGATTCACTACTTATCTTTCAACCATCCCATATTGTAACATAAGAATTTATATCTATACAAGTTCCCTGATGGTCTAGAAAGAACAAAGCGTTGCCACGAAAAGATGACCATCCCAATCCGGTTGAGCGGAAAGATGAGAATGGTTTGACATTTTACACTTTCTCGTAAGTCTCTTGCTTCCGCCTCCATGGAACCACCTGCTTAAAGTTTTCACAGAGTGTTGCCTGCGCCAAAAAAAAAAGTACAACTGCGTAAATACATGCTTAGATTAAATGCTTTCGAGGCAATAAACAATCATCTTAAAGAAATATGTAACTCGTGACGGGACTTAATAGAAGAAGAAAGTTGTATGAATTAGATAATAGATAGATTTATCAAAAAAGATATTACTAGTCTAGAGTATTTCAATGTCAATCCACGTGCTTGTAAAACCTAAAAATTTTAAGCCCGTTGATTCGTAAATGTCGTGGGTCCGACTTCGATTTTTCTTGTTCTCTCATTTATCATATTGGTCATTTTTTTCTTTGAATATATGCCGAATTTCAAAGTGTGAGGAGAATTTCAAAAAAATTTGACTAGTAAACCTTGTGCTGATTTAAAAGCTTATAAGTTGGCAATGTCCCATAAAATTTTATAAAGATGAAAATCAACAATTTTTTTCTCCTACCATAGTAAGAGTGTAATAAACATAGTTGTGAAACGACTAAAATTTTGTGCCTTAAGTTGAGGACATGCGTGAGTTCATGATCTTCTCTTAGGCGCAACATAACATAGACTTTGCACCTCAAAAGCGCAGGACAGAACATATTTTCAACAACATATATAGAACAAGATCTTATCACTCCCTTTACACTTCTGCTTCCTTTTCGAGTTTCCCCATTGCATATTGCACTCCATCTGCTGTGCAGATGTGCTAATGGTTCTAACCTCGAGTTAGAGGCAGAATATAAAAGATAGATCAATAAATTAAATGAGTAGAAACAAATTTAACCAAAGTGAAAGAGCATATGATAAAAATAATTAATTCTTTTAATAAAACTAAACAAATTAATTTTGCTTACCCACAAATGTGACTTTGATTGAGATCGACCTATGAAGCCCCCTCTCCTCCTCCTTGTGTCGGCATGTGAATAACAATCCCCGCCATTGCCGTCCCCGTCGCCGTCGCCACCACTCCTAGCTCCACGGAATGAAGATGAAAACTCAGAAATACCCTCAACAGCGTCTACTTTCTCCCTTAGAATTCCCCATCTCATTGACCCAAAAATCGACACCCTCTCCTTCGCCTCTCTCTTTCCCCTTTTCTCCGGGCTCCTGAAAGACCCTCCTATCTTCCTGAACGAGAACGTCTGAGCCGAGCGCCGACCCATGCAAGGCCCATCGAGCACGCTTGTCGGGGAGGGCGTATTGGTAAACTTGTCCTCGTCCCACAGCCTTGGAGGCGGCTCAAGACACGGTGGGCTCGCGATCACACGGGGCTTGGACCAGTCATTGGGCCGTTTAGGCTTGCCCGGCACTTCCTCCCACTCAAACGGTATCGAAATCGAGGTTTGGAGCGGTGGGTCGGGCATGTCCGAGGGGTCACGCCGGTGGTTCGGGAGCGACAATAAGGAGAGTTTCGGAGTAGATCTTCGAGGATCCTCGTTCTCAGACTCCGAAACCATCTCTCCCTCCCTCTCCACGTTTTTCAAACTGAGGATCAATCTTTGGACCTTGTGGGGGATTCCTCCATGGGTTTTGAGCTTTTATAGGTAAACAAAAAGGTTTACCTAACATTCTACATGTGTGATGTACAGAGATGGCCGCCGAATTTGTATAGTAAAGTGAATTCTTAGGTTGGATAAAGTTAAGGGCTTGACGTTCTTTATCGGAAAAATGACCCTTTTCTCTTCTTTTCCCACCGAGTGCACATTGATCATCAGCAGATAATGACAGCGTGACTTTAACTTTAGGACATGGTTCTTGAAGAGTGTTACCTCGTTACCCATAAGATAAGGTTCAAAAGATTGTAATAAAATTGGACAAAAAATCATATCATTGGACATGTGGGCCAAACTGAGGGGTCACAATTCATTGGCATTTACCAATCCATTAGGTCAAAAAGGGTGGTCTTACACACTTTGGGAACAAAAGTAGATATAAAACAGAGAAAATAAACCAAGGTAAGAAAGAAGGGTTCTCAGATCAAGGTAGTCTTATCTTGAAACTATTCAATGATAACGACAATCACGGTGGAAAAAATATATATTTATTTTCTTCTTTTTCGCCTTAATCTTGTGGGAAAAAAAAATGCTATAATTCAAAAGTAAAGCTCATTTCACTTTTGTTCAAAAACAGAATCTTTGATGCGATTTAATTTCATGGAAAAGAGGAGAAAAACTTTCATTTGCGTCGGGCGGGCGGGAAAAATGTTTGTCTTCACATATATTTCAGGAGAAAGAGGACCCACAGTTGCTTTGCTGATTACTAGATACATGCGAGTCAAAACCTACTGTCAAAGCTGGTTGCACTTGCACTTGAACACGCCTTCTCTTTCTGTCAATCTCTTCTTTTTCTCACATGCACGTTAGGGCAAGCTCGGACCTCAAGTAACTCAGTAAAAGGTTCCATCCGAATCTCGGAACGTTAACATATGGGGTTACTCTAGAAGTCTCCCGAAAGAAAAACAACATGGGGAGGGACGGGGGGATGTGTAGGTAAATCGGCTGTCAGGTCATAAAAATAAGGCATAGCCTGCACAGGTGAAAACACCCGTCCTTGGTGAGCTAAACCTGGCCAAAACACCAAACGTGGACCTAAACCTCATTAGTCATTACCATTTTCAGGTTGTTTTTTCACTCATCGAATAAAATGAGAAAGATGTCGACAAGAACTCGATTCGTGAACGTTGCGATTGGTCGAGCACACGGTAAGTTATAAGACCTTGTGATAGGATTCCGTCCCAACCTGGCATATTCGCCGATAATTTGTACGCGATTGTAAGACATAATTTTGAAAGATGATTCAATGTTTATGATATAAGCAGTAGTATCTAAATAGATTTTCCTTATATATATAAAAGGACATGGCTTCAACGTCTTCGAGGAAGGCAATAGGGAATTCAAAATATTGTTTTTGGAGAGAAAGTGAACATTTTATCCCACGAAGGTCTCTTTTTTTCTTCTCCTTTTCCTTTATTTTGAAATAGATTCCTTCCTTGCTAAAGAAAACCACCCTCGAAAGGTTCTCATCATGGAGAGAAAAGTCATCAACGTGAAAGAGAATTCCAGTTAAATGATCAGGAGTCGTTTGTCTTTGAAGTTTGTCTAAGTTGTTATACACACGCAACTCTTCTCCGCCTAATAATTCAAACTTTTGGAGTGAACATTCGATCACGGCATCGCATCGGAGCTAAATTTCGATTTCTTTGTATCCCATTTGACATTGAATTTTGGAAGTTGCGGGAAGGGTATTATTAAATATTTGGACTCAAGTCTATTCTCATTTAGTGAAGGTGCTGCTCAAGTATGAAATGAATTCGAGTTCTGACTTGTCGGTACTCAAATTTTTTCACAAATTGCCATGCACATATGAAGCAGACTAATGCTTTTATTTGCATGGGCAAAGACTCTTAAAATTGATTTTGAGGTTAAGTTTGAGCTGAGCACAGAGTTAACTCGAGCTTAGAGTGATCTTTGGTGGGGTTTAGGAGCTAAAACGATGTGATATCGACACAAATTGAAGAAGTGACACAAATTGAAGGAGAGGAAACCGAATATGAATCTTGGGTTCTGTGCACTTCTGCTTGTATATTCTCCATATACAAAATTCAATATATAGTACAAAATGTGAGTCATAAAAGGAAAGACTATATCGATTCTAATTGTAGATTGATTATATCAATTAATTACAATCCCGGATTGATTAAATGTACCGATTATAATCCGGATATATTTGTCATATCTTAGGCATATATTCTAACACTCCAAGCTTGTGGCTTATATATGTTCAAGACGCCCAGCTTACTTAATAGATATGCATATTGTCTTTGACATAGGGGTTCGGTAAAGAGATATGTAGGCTGTTCTGTGGTTCCAATTCCTCTTGTCTCGATTATCCCTTCTTGGATCTTATCTTGAGTGAAGTGGCAATCAACTTCTATATGCTTCATTTTTTCATGTACTATGGGATTTGCCGCAAGTTTTAGTGCCGCATGGTTGTCACAAAATAGCAGGGCCGATCCTTTAACTTGTACCTCACGGTCCAGAAGTAGGCCTTATAACCATACTATTTCACAAACAGTTTTAGCCATGGCTCGATACTCAAATTCAGATGATGACAAGGACACAGTGGACTGCTTCTTTGTCTTCCATCAAAGCGACGATTCCCCAAGTTTAATGCAGAAACCAGTGATAGACCTTCGGCTCATAGGACAAGTAGCATAATTCGTGTCACAGTAAGCTGCCATCTCCATGTTACATCTTTGAGAAAGAAGTATCCCTAGTCCTGGGCATTTCTTCAAGTACTTCACAACCTTCTGAGCGGCATTCATATGGGTTTGTTTCGGACTATGCATGAATTGACTAGGTGTCTGTACTGCATAACATTTATTCAATCTAGTCATAGTGAGGTAGATAAGCTTCTTAACGAGTCTTTGATAGCTTGACGGGTCTTTGAGTAATGGATCATTATCTAGAGACAATAAATCCGTGTCATAATCAATTGTGGTCAATTTGGCATTCTGCTTGATGGGAGTAATAGCTGGTTTGCATCCTGATAGACCTGTTTCTAATAAAATTTTCAGTATAATTTCAATTGGCTAAGAGAGATTCCTTGCTCTGATCAGGCAATCTCAATTCCAAGAAAATATTTGGGTGATCTCAAGTCTTTAATATGAAAAGTGGAATGCAAGTATTCTTTAAGATTATTAACAGCAAATTGATCACTTCCCATAATACATATGTCATCAACATATATCGTTAAATAGATGGATGGCATACCTTTCGTCCATGCAAACAAAGTGTAATCATGTTTGGACTGTTTAAATCATGCACCTGTAAATGCATTGGTAAACTTCGCGTACCACTGTCGAGAAACCTGTTTAAGACCAAAAAGGGATTTATAGAGATAACATACCTTAGACTCCCCCTATCTCCGTAAACCCTGCAAGAGATCCATATAAATTTCTTCGTCAAAATCACGATGGAGGAAGACATTGTGAATATCCATTTAATGTAGTGGCCAATTATGAAAGGTGGCAATTGCTAAGAAGGAGCGAACTGTAAGGTCCTTTGCCACTAGAGAGAAGGTCTCGCAATAATCAAAACCTTCTCGTTGCGTGAAATCTTTAGCCACTAACCGAGCCTTGTATCGCTCAACGAAGCCATCTACCTTATATTTAATCTTTTATACCCACTTGCAGCCAATCGATTTTGCGATGAGAGGATAGTGGTACAATGTCCCACGTTTGATGTTCTATCAAGGCAAGCAACTCTGCTTCCATAGCCATTTGCCAACTTGGGCAGTAACTGCCACATTATTGTTGGATATTTCAATAGTTTTGAATTATTAAAAGTTATAAATTTTGTAACGGGTTTTTTACCGTCATAAAATTGTAACGGTTTTTTGTCCGCTATTAATATAATAAGGTTTTGTAACGTTTGATAACGGCCGTGTAATGGCTTGGTAACATCTGTTTTATTTCATTATAAACCCTCCATCATTTGTAACGGCCATATAATGGTCATCTATTAACAACGATTTTAGCAGCTCTTTCTTTCTTTTGAACATAAATTTCAAACCACAACTCTTGAAGACACTAACTTAGAAAAGAGAATTTCCTTACCTTATTATTTTCTTTTTTTACTGGGTTATACACATAACGTTATTCCTATTCCTTTTAATATTCGAGAGAAGAACACTAGAAGTGCCAAAACTTACGTATGACGCTCACTTTAGTGCCAAAAGATTTTTTCGGATCACTTAAGTGCCACTTTTTAAAAAAAAAAACAATCACTTAAGTGTCAATTCCGATTTGGATCGCCGAAAATCTGACGTAGCCATATTTTAGTAATTTCTCAGTCCTATGTGGCACATCGGCACTGACGGGGACAATATATTTAATAATATTTTAATATTTTTTCGATTTTTTAAATATTTTTTCTGATTTTTTTTCTTTATTTCCTTCTTTTCTTTTTGTCCTTCTTTTCTTTTTTTTTCTTTTCTTTCTTCTTCTTCTACCTTTGGCCGGTGACCGGACACTGGCCTCCGGCCATGGCTGGCCACCGTTACCCGCCACAGGCGAGGCCCTGCCTAGCGAGGGCGGGCGAGCCCTGGCGAGGTAAGGCCGACCCTCGCCTAGGCAAGGGCGAGCCTCAGCGAGGCCGCCGTGGCCTGGGCAAGGGCTAGTCTCGCCTGATCTGGCAAGGGGAGCCCTCGCTGGGGCTCGCCCTTGCCCAGGCGAGGTGAAGCCGACCTTCGCTGGGGCTCACGCGTCGTCGCCAGGGTGGGCCTCGCTTGTGGCGGGCAACGGCGGCCTCGTCCCAAACGAGGCCGCCTCGCCTGGGCGAGGCCGGCCATGGCCGGTGTCCAGTCACCGGCCAAAGTAGAAGAAGAAGAAGAAAGAAACGAAAAAAAGAAAAGAAAGAAAAAAAATCAGAAAAAATATTTAAAAAATCGAAATATACACATGGAAATGCCACGTAAACTGTTTTTTTTTTTAAAAAAAATTTCAACTCAGATTAAAATTTT